CTGACAGGAGGAGATGCTCAGGCAGTAATGCTGGCTGGTCAGTCACTCACCTCCTGCTGTGCACCCTGGTTCCAAACAGGCCATGATGGCCCAGGGGTTAAAGACGACTGCTCTAAAAGAAAGAAAAATGGCTGGGCACAGTTGGCTCACACCTGTAATTCCAGCACTTTGGGAGGCCAAGGTAGGTGGATCACTTGAGTCCAGGAGTTTGAGATGAGCCTGGACAACAGGGTGAAACACTGTCTCTACAAAAAACACAAAAATTAGCTGGATGTGGTGGCACGTGCCTATAGTCTCAGCTACTCAGGAGGCCGAGGTGAGAGGATCGCCTGAGCCCAGGAGACACAGGCTGCTATGAGCTAAGATCACACCACTGCGCTCTACCCTGGGAGACATAGTGAGATCCTGTCTTGAAAAAAGAAAAGAAAGGAAAGGGGAAGGGCAGAAGGAGACTGCTTGAGTGGGAAAACACAGCTCTAGTCTTTAAGCTCTTCTTTAACCTATTTCTCTCCGTGGCCTTTTCAAGAAACTTATCAGGGATATACACTCTGCATCACCATTACACATCTCCTCAACTCATTTTTTTTCATCTTAAACAATCTTCATCTAATGCAAGTTACTACAAAAGATGCTATTCAAAGAAACCAAGTGGTAGTTCTCGTGGTATTACAACGAAGTCTAAACTATTTATTTGTATAGTATATTTACAGAGTGCCTTTCCCTCAGAATAATCACAGCATTTCATGACTACAGGCACATTAAGCAAATATAACAATGCTGAGTCTCAATTCATTCAGAAAGAAAAAAAAAAAGTCCAAATAATTAAACTAGTTTACAAACTATTTTATAATATTTGTTGCCTTGATCAGACTAGTACTAGAAGAGTAAACAGCCCTCTGCAACAGCTTGTTCTAGCTCCTTGAATTAAAATCTGCATATTGTACTGTCAGCAAAAATATCCCAGCTAACATTGGTGATTCTGGGTAAGTTCAATCCAATAATATTCAACTAGTGTGCCCAATCAGAGTGTCTCAGATCTAATTTTAATTCCAGTGTAAAAGGAAGAAATATGACAAGGAAAGGATTTTCATGCATTTCTTTTATGCACACTTGTTCTACCATATATTCAATCAGTACCAGCTACCCCAATAGTCCCCTTTGAAATGACTGGATTAGTATACTCCTTTCTAGGGTCTCCTTCCCTCTCCATTCAAAATAATTCATACAGAGTCATTCAGGAAATACTGAAAGAGCAAAGGCAGTTATGGGGGAGAAAAGAAAAAGCAGAGCTAGCATGGGACAGTCAAGAATCCATGATGGAAGAGGGAAATAACCTATTAATGTTTAACAATGTCAGTAAAATTCTAATTTGCAAAGCAAATTAAGTTGTAGAAGTGAAGTATGCTAAAAAGAACTACCAACCAGTAACCAGTACAAATACAAAGCAAACTCTGAGTGTATGACAATTTATTAAATATATTAAATTACATAAGCACATATCCTGAATAAGTTTTAGCCATAAGCAGTAGATTATATTGAATTCCCATATCAACAAATGTACATAAAAAGGGAAGTGTTTGGTTACATGAGATATGCAATTCACAGCACAATAAGGAAAGGTTTCTGTTGAAAAAGAATGGCAGAAGCGATTTGGCTAAGAGAAGAAAATAACTATTATAATTGTGAAAGATAACGTTCTATTTCTCAAGCTGGGTAAAAGGCATATAAGTGTTGGCTGCATTGTGGAGTCTTTATATTTTACACATTTTTATAAATACTTTCTAATATGTGGTCAATATCTTATAAAACAATGTTTAAGTGTGAGTGAACAGACATTTGTTGACATTAGAGGTAAAATGCACATAGGCATCTAATCCATTTGTGCTAATTATGGTACTTTTTAATATAAATGAAAAAGAGATCATAAAAATATGAGGAAGAAAATAGCATAATTTATCCTTAATTTCCCTACAGAAAGTAAGCAGTAAAGGTTTATTGGTGCTCTTAAAAAGGCTGTGTGTGTGTGAATGTGTATATACACACTACACACACACACACACACGCTATATTAAATTTACTTGAAATTAACTTTTTACCTCTAAAGTTCCCTTAAAATCAACCACCATCACAAATATTTCCTTAACCACATAAAAAGTACTAATACTCCTCTAGGCATAATCCCAGAAATAAATTAAAAAACAAATTCCTAAAGAGAAATGTTCACACTGCAAATAACTGTATCTTTTGTATATATGCAGACTTAACATCTATGTGAGTTGTCCAGGTTTATCCACATCTATAGCACTTGCTTTATGATGGGCACATGCATTTTAATTATGCCTTGTCAATACTACCTTGAGTGAGAGAGCAATATAGTATATTGATGAGAAGCACAGGTTCTGGAGCTAGCATTCCTAAATGGAAACTTAGCTCTTCTACTTCTCAGCTATATAATATTGGACAAGTTATTTAACCTCTCTGTGTTTCAGATTCTCATTTGTAAAACGGAAATAACTGCATACCTCATAGGGTGTTGGAACTGATTAAAACAATGTACAACAGGACTGGCAAAGAATAGGTGCTACATAAATGTGAGCTGTTACTACTAGTACAGCTGGCCCTTGAACAACATGGGCTTAAACTGTGCTGGTCTACTCCTATGCAGATTTTTTTCAAGCAATACGGTATTCATGGGATGCAAAAACCGAGTATACTGAGGGCCGACTTTTTCCTATACATGGTTCCGCACACCAACCGCGGGATTTGAGCACGCGTGGATTTTGGTATATGTGGGGGTCCTGGAACCAATGCCCGGCATACAATAAGGGAAGAATGTAGTAGTAATTGTATTGCACCCTCTTCCTGAACGTGCCAAGAAGATTCTTAAGCAATGTGATTTCCTGGCTAACATGAAATGCTACCTATATTTAAAATAGACATCAAATCTGAGGCCTGATTAACTGTAAGTTTAAAGCCCTTCAACTCTGAAGAAAATAGGTGATTCACAGATCTACAAAACTACTCTATCAAGAACAATCTGAGAGGACTGGTTCCCCGAGTGCAACTATCAATTTCTTCCCTTACACAAGGGGGCAGTGATAACAAGAAAAGAATCGGGCTCTGTAACACCTCTTCCTACAGACAGTAGGGGGTGGCAGTACATATGGCTTACAGTCAGAACAAAACAGGAAGACCCAACAGAATTCTCTTTATTCTCCTCTGGCCCTTTCCTCTGTTCTTCAGCCCCAACAGCGTCTCAAGGTAAGGGACATACCTACAGAAAAGACTAAAACCCAAAATCAATCAACAAGGAAAATCCATTTTTGTCTTTGAAGCAAATGATCCCTCAATGGCTGAATTTGGATCTAAGGGAAAGCCAATCAGTATGAATTTTCAGATTATCTGGCAAATTACTATAATGAGAACAGCATTCACACATGTAATTTCATTTCTTTACAAGAATTATAACATAAAACATTAAAATCTCATAATTAAGTACATTCTAATGAACACATTTCCATACTTCTGCTTTTGTTATATAGTATATTTACACTCACTGTAAATACATATAAGTTACATTAAATAGATCACGGAGTTGTCTTTTGTTACTTCTGAAATTCCAGCTATGTTCTGACAATCCTCTCAAAACAGATGTTCTTAAATGGAAGTCAAAATGTTCTGCAGCATGTGGGTAATTTCTTATGAATGTATAATATACACGTACATAAATCTATATAGAGACATAAATATCTAGATACAGAGGGGATCAGGAGAGAGGAAGAAAGACAATGTTTAACGTTTTATTTCGTGCTCATATCCCTAAGAGGATCTATCTACCTGGGAAATGCTGCAAGAAGCACTCCACTGACAGTATCCATGTTGTTGCTCTTTATGCCAATTTACTGTATTCTTTTTATTTCACCATCCCAACACCAAGAACATACAAGAATATTTTATTACTGCCGTTCTCTGTAATTAACCATTGTGATAGATACTGGCCCCAACCCCTTAAAATGCCTGAAAATCTATCCCTTTTGTTCACCATACTGTTTTGTTTTCCTCATTACAGATATTTTCACCTGTGTAAAAATCAGGAAAAGGGCACATACGAAAAATACTTCCCTTTGCCTAATGATTTTGAACTTAAAATTATGGTCAAGATGTTTGGGGTTTTGTTTGTGTCTTTTCCTGGAGAGAATCAGAGAAGAGAGTGAAAGACACCCGAAACACCAAATCGTCTTCCTAATGTTAATTATCATTGTTTATGTTTTGTGAAGACCATTCTAAACATTCCACACCTGGAACTGAAGACTGGATACAATTGTACCAGTGCTCTACACGCTGATGGCAAAACCTGGAATTATTTTAGCCCTATTTTTTCTTTCCCATCTCACAGCCAGACACAATTTGCTTTTTTTCTTTCACGTGGTTACTTTCTCTATCTCAAAAAAAAAATAGCTTATCACAGCTCCTCCAGATTTCCTATGGCAAAATAACTAGCAATAAGCCTTATTAATCTTTTATTATGCTACACCTCCTTTCCCAGAGGAATTATTAATATCGCTAATAACACTTCGACCATGAATCTCAACGCCACACAGGCCAGCCCATCCTGTGCTTTACCTGGCACATTTCACAACTACTTTTATGCTGCATTCTGGGGGCACATTTTGCAACTCGTTCTGCACCACATTCCCTGCCACGTTTAGCAATCCGCCTCGCATCTTATCCTTGGTCTCCGTCATCCAGAGACGCTCTAGGTACCAAATTCCATGACACCTTCGGTGACAGCCAAGTGGCGACCCCAGACGCCTCTGAAGCCCGCCTTGGTGTCATATTCGGAGCCAGTCTTCCCCACGCCTTGGACACCGAGGCACTTCGCTGCCCATTTCGCCGTCTCCCCGCTCGCCCCCGCCCCTCTCCCCGGAGCCGAGGCTGTGGAGGCGAACGACCCTGTCACTGAAGGGACCTTTCCTCGCCCTGCTCCCCGGACCCCTTACCTGCCGCTCTGAGGGGCTCTCTGCACCTCCGGGTCAAGCCCCAGTCCTCGGGGTCTCCTGTGAGGACCGCGCCGCCCGCCGGCGCCGCCCGCGATTCCCGG